CTCTGAGGAGAGGAAGAAAATCAAAGTGCCCCTGTACCTTGTTACAGAGCTGAGGGACTTGAATGAGTGGACACAGGTGTTTAGCCCAACCCTGGCCTGCAGACAGTCCTCGGTAGACATTTAGCAACATCCAGTAGAGAATGGCCAGTACTCTGCACACTTTTCACTTTCCTTCTGAATAAAATGCTGAGAATACTCTAAGTAAAGTACAGTTAAGACACGAGGTGGCAAACTCTATTCCAATATGCTCTCTCTTGCTAGATGTTTGCCTGGAAGCATGAAATACCTTTAAAACCACCCAGGGCATTCCTGCTATGGGGGATGTCTTCCCTGAACAGCTGGTCCTTTTCAAGCCTCCCTCAGGCCAACCTCTGTATCACCAGAGAGTTCCTGGCACTGGCCACTGTGCTCATGGCAGAGGGGTTGCTATGGCCTGGAATGCAGCCTCGTTTTGGGCTACTTCTGGAAGAGTAAGTGTCGTCATGTCCCTGGCTTTGGGGCTGCTGGGTCTAGGAAGGGAAAGGCTCTCTGGCCACCAGGAATCATACAGCCTCCCCTAGAGAGTGGTCTCTCCCAGCCTGCGTACTGCTTCACATCTTTTGGTCCCTTGGAATGTAATATGTAAAAAAGAAACTCTGTTATCAACACTGGGAAATCCAGTTGGTAACACTCTCCTTTTTTCCTTTATTAAAAGTTTTAAATATGTTTTAATTGAATAAAATTATATAATTTCCCCGCTCCCTTTTCTCCACCCAGCCTCTCCAAACCACCCTCCATCAAACCCCTCCCATGCTCTCCAACTCCTTGATAGCAATTTTTGATTATTATTGTTACATACATATGTGTATACATATATGCACACATGCATATAAATGTAACCTGCGGAGTCCACTTGTGTTGTCTGTGTGCATGTAGTTTCCAGGCTGACCGCTCTGCACAGGACAACCAGTTAGGGGCCTCGTCTACTTCATGAGGTGTGGCAGTCACATTTAGAACTTGGCAGCATTTGTACTGCTCTTATCTGAATATGAAGTATCACCAACAGGATCAAGTTTGGGCTTTGATTGCCAGATGCTGGGCTTTTGCAGATAGATTGATGGAGTCAGAATATGGTGATGCTGTTGGGAGTTGGTTAAAAGTAGGAGGTAGGGTCTAGTCGGATGGAGTAAGTGACTGGGTGTGTGTTTGGGGGGCTATGGCTCCCCCGGTCCCTCCCTGTATTCCTTTCCTCTGGTTCCTGTGAATAGCCTATCTGTTCCTCTGTATGTGCCCTCTGCCATGGTGTTCTCTCTAGCACAAGTCCAGAAACATGGGTCCAAGAAACCATGGGCTGAGCCCTCTGAATCCATGAGCCAAAAGAAATTTTTCTTCCTCCAATTCCTGCCAGGTAATTTGGTTGGTCACAGCTACCCAAAAGCATTGCACTCACAGAAGACCTGGGGCTGGGGGCAGCTAATAGTAGGAAAACTATTCCTAATGACAAGTGGGAGACAAGGATCTTCTCCAGCAAATCACAGCTTCCCAGGAGTGAATTCTGAGAGGCAATCCAAAAGACTACCTCAGCAGCAGGGGAGGGAGGGAACAGGGGGCAGAAGGCAGGTGGGGCATGACCCAAGCATTCCACATTGGCTCCTTCACTCCAATAGCAGAACCCATGTTTGGATGATAGTGTTCTAGCCCTCTCAAAGCATCTAGCTATCAGTCTCCCCCTTCAGCTCTTTTCCATGCCTTCTTCAGAGGTTCAGCCCATCCATCATGACATGAAGGCCACTTGCCATCAAACCAGACTAGAAAGAAAGGAAACTGACTGTGACTTTTACCAGAAGGGACCCTCCTCGCCTTGAAAGTCTTCCAGATTACCGTCGGTTTGCCTAATGCCATGGAAACAGACAAATACAATTTTGTGGAATGTTTTACAGTGTGCCGGGCAGGTGGCTAAGTCGAAGGTCATGGCAATCTAGTGCCCGTATTGCTTTCACTTTTGATGCAAGATCACACAGCTCAAGGGCAAGAGCCAGGCTATGAAACAGGAAGGACACAAGTGATCCGGAAGCATATCTGCTACAAAGTGTGTAGCACACAGGTCTTTGCTCACACCCACTTCTGGTCTTTCTCATCTCCAATGCTTGGGGTCTTCCACCTCTGGTGATTGTGAGGGCTACACTAAACCTGCACAGCGATTCTTTTCCATGGCTCTATTCTGATGCTAATAGATGACTTGGGGAAAAGCTCCTTTTTAAAGATGTACAGCTGTTGGCACTTGTCACATTAATAGTTGCTACTTAAGTCAACAGTAGGTGCTCACGGTTTAGGACTGGGTCAGAGACCTAAATCAGTGGTGTTTAGGTGTCCTTGGAGCTCCTTGATAAGACATTGCTCCATGGTCCCAATAAGGCATCCTTGGCCTGTCAAAAGTTGCTGGCTGCATCTGATGTTTAGAGGGAACTGAGTGGTAGGGATAGATAGAGGGAAAGGATCAAAGAATCCATGGCCCCCAAGATGAATGGGAAAGCAGCAGGAATTAGTACCTGTTCCTAGAAGACATCTCCAGGCTTACCCTTTATTCCTCCCTTGCCTTTTCACACTGCCTCATTCAAACCAACATCCCGCTACCACATCACTTCAAACACTCTCCCAGTGTGAGTAACATCTGTGACATCATTCAGGGACCTCATTGACCATGGTATCAGGACCAAGGGGACATGGCTCCAGACATACCAATCACTATGGTGACTTGAGAAAGAGAGAGAGAGAGAGAGAGAGAGAGAGAGAGAGAGAGAGAGAGAGCCTTTTTTTTCAGCCCAGATGAAGCTAGAGACACTGAAGGCTGGTCACTCTGCCTCATACACAGGAGCCTAAGAGCCCTTTGGACAATAGGACTGAAGGTCTCTGTAATGTGGGTGATGGGCATAATAACATGAGTCAGTGACATCAGCTGGAGCACATGGTGTCTCTAGATGCACAGGTTCAAAATGAGTGGTTGTTCTCCATGATGCCTTCTTCCTATACCTGCTAAGTCTACGTACTCAGGGTTTGGCACTCATTCTGATAACATGTTATCTCTGTGAGTTTCCTTTTGTGGGGCAGAAATTCTTGAGTCCTTTCATGAATGTCATTCAAACTTTGGAATCCATGATACCTACTAATTGGTCTTTTACTTCAGCTTATTCAAGATAATAGAAAATTCTCAGAAAACTTGGATATATACAATATATGTTAGTCGAATTATAGACAGGCAACTGTTTCTGTAGAGTATATTTTTAATGAGAACATATTGTTATATTTGGAATATATGTTATTCTTGCTTAATATAAACGTTTACAAGAACACATACAAATTTATATCCAAACACCAAATGAAGTAGATTGTTTAAATGACCAGTTTTGCACCAGAAATAAAATATATTATACAAAACAGGGCTATATCCACAGTCATTAATCACTTTCTACACAAAATGACAATAAATTAAATCACATTATATGCAGATAGTTCTACTTACATTAGAATAGTAAGTTGTATGTAGTTAGTGCAGCTTTGACCTTTCTACCAAATTCATGGTAGCTTTGTATTGTTTGGTGGTCCTGGGTTTAAATTAACCATGAACAATATGGCTCAAAAGACACTGGCTCCAGGACTGACCCTCTGCAATGCCTAGCTCACGACCCCCTGCTTTCAGCTCTGCACAAGGAACAAAGCTCTAATTCTCAGAACCACAGCACCTCGGGCCTGTTGAGGGCACATCGTTGCTGACTTATATGCTATACCACATTGAACATTTTCAGATGCAGGCACTGAATCATGAATAAGATACTCCATGTCAAAATCCACATTTTCTTCTTTCTTTGCAGAAATAACTCCTTCTCTATCCAATAAAAATTATATACTATGACAGCTTTGTTCTAGAAAATAAAAATGAATTTGGTAGCCTGTTGTGATTCATGCTTGGTAAATGGACCCTTTGTTCCTGTGCATATAAATTTATGCCTTTAAATATGAATCAAAGAAATGTAACTTCTTTTATTAACTCTGAGGTCTATTTGTTCAAATCTCTCCACAAAGAATCATCTCATACCTGATAAACCAAAGAGTTTTTTTAACATATGGATTTTTTTACCCCTGAGATTCGGCTCTCATTGAAATCCTTTTCATTGTGTTTGAAGTGAAGCCAGTTCAGAATGCTCTGAGTTTGGTATGAATTAACATAAGTGATTAATGAGAGATTTAAACAACCTCCAACCCAGCACCTTTTGAGAGTTACCTTCATCCCGTCGGCCTGCAGGAGACATTTGAAAAGTCTGTACAATGAGAACCAAAGCCAGGCTCATTAGTGTACATGAAAAGCACAGACTTGAACTGGCCAAGTTACTGTAAGGCTTCTGATTAGCAGCCAGCTACCTCCTCACACCAATGCTATTTTGTCTTTTTCTCTGAGTAAGTGTGGAGGCCTCCTCACAAGTTTCCACCTGCCTGGGAAGGATTCTGACACATCTTTGGAGCCATGATGGATGGTAGGTGGGGCTCTGGGAAGAAAAGCGGTGGAGACAGGGTCAGCTGCGAAGTTCTTCTCTCTGTCGCCTTGGCAGAAATAAGCTCCTGACTCTTCTCACTGGGCATGTCCAAAGCTTCTTGTTGAGACTGGCTATTGCAGAAGGTCTAAACTATTCATTACTCATCAGTTCTAAAGAGCAATTCAAAGAGAGACCGGTCCCTCCGGTGCCACCAACTCATTCTGTTTCTATGCTGTCCCTAAAGCATCCTGTGTTTCTAGACAGTTTCCTTTTTTTCCACTGAGTGAGAAATTCAGTTCATTACCAGCTTCCTTCTGAAGTCCTGAACCACAGGGTGTAACTAAACCAAACCGATGACCTGTAGGTAGAGGGGCCAAATTTCATTTGGCATTTGCCTTCCTAGGTGCATCCACTAGGGATCCAAGTTCTTTGTATCTCAAGAACATGGGCACTAGTATTTTCCAATTTATAAACACTATTCTTTCCTTTTCGTGTGTGTGTGTGTGTGTGTGTGTGTGTGTGTGTGTGTGTGTGTGTGTGTGTGTGTAAAGGAACTGCACAAGTAACTCAACTTTGAGAAAGCAATGTGTCACTGGAAATAGCTTCTGAACCCACTCACTGTATGTCTGAGATACACAAGGCCTCCCTTTTCACTTCCCACTGCCTGTCATAGATCCCTACAATCAGTCCCAACCAGAAGAAAAGAGGAAAGTTAGGGACAGAAAGGGTACATGTGCCATCTGCAAAGGCACAGGAAGCCTGTGAGCAGGGGGAAGTGACTTGGCATTCCAACGCTTTTCATTCCTGGGAGAGAGGAAACGGGGATGGGGGCATCTGCTCTCATTCCATAGGATTCTCCCTCTCTCCCATGAGTTCTGTGATGTAAAGAACTATTTTAAGGCCTGTAGAACTATATCTGTGGTTCAGGAAAAGACACACCAGTGACTTTTAAGAGCAATATAACATTGAAGGGATTCCTTCTAAAACCTCTGGGTAGAAGAGACATGTCTCCACACAGAAAGTTTTATTTCTGAGTTTATCTTCTCTTCCAAACTTATTGGCTATAAAATTTGTGTTTATTTCCAACACCATAACTATATGCTTATTTTAACTTGTGTATGAACTTATATTTGACTAGATGAGAAAAATACTCATAAAATATCCCCTTTGAAATCTTAATCATTGGATTTAAGAGTAAAAATGTATAGACTGGATTAAGATCTAAAGTCTCATTTAGTTTATTATATAATAGTTGGCTACTGGCAGATTATGAAGGACTAACTGCTTCTTTGCAGTTAGGAATTTAAGTTCCACAATACAATACCAAGAGTTCTTAACCCAGGGCCACCACAGATCGGACATCTATATTCTCAGCAAAGGTTTACGAGCTTAGCGGCATTTTCAAAACTTGATGTAGCTTGGGCAACTCATATGAAGATTTATTTTCTTCTGAGACAGGGTCTCACCGTGTAAACACAGCTGACCTGAAACTCACTATGTAGACCATGCTGGCCCTAAACTCACAAAAATCTACCTATTCTGCCTTCAAAGTACCAGGATTAAAGACATCTTGCCTAGCCATGTAAAAATGTTTAAGAGGGAAAAACTACATAGTGGACCTGTAAATGACCTTAATAATAGTAGAATTGCTTTAAAATTACAGGAAATGACTCCATATTCCAGAGATGTCATAAGTCACCCTGCCTTTTTTAAAGGATTAACTCCCTTCTCATCGTTCACATCTTACCTGGGGGTATGCTATTAAACTTGGGAAAATTCCTCTAGCTGAAGTAGAAATAAAAGACATTTGCTGGAATAATGCTGCCATTAATTGGGCCACCATATAAATTCAAGGAAGGTTAGAAATATTTACACCAAAGAGTATAGCTAGGTAGAGGACTTTCCCCAACACCACCCTCCTATAATTAGCACAGAGGTTCAAAAAATAAACATTAGAAAGTGAATATCTCTGAAATTGTTGGAAAAGATTATTGAAAAGGTAAAAGAGAGAAATCAGCTCTCTGGTTCGGATAACTGAAGCGGTTGCAATCTGTCCACACTGTTCTCGTTATGTGAGTCCCCAACCATCTGCCAATTGCTTTCCTGAGCCCTACTTCCCAGACTCTCCTCCTGCATTAGAATTTTGAAATTTACCTTTCTTGCCTACTTTTCTTGGCTCTTTTTGAAGTCAGCACTTTAACATCCCAAATGCAGAACCACCATGTAGCTGCTCCTGATGTTCACAGCAAATTCTTTTATCAGATGGTTTGCATCCCATTTCCTGAACCATGAAGAAGCAGCGCACCTCGCCCAGAAATGGCCCATTCACTTTGACTCGGGAGAGATGCAATCAGATGCGCTGCAGTCCTTCCCAGGGAAGCAAGCATGAGACAGCTTCCTGAACTTTCACTCGGCTTTCCTCTTGAGTGAACCTGAGTGAACACGACCTCCAAGGAATGATGCTATTCCCCCCCCCTTTAAGAACTTCATGATTACAAGATGGTGCCCTTGTTCTCTCCTCAAATGATAAAGTGAGAACCCAAATTTAAACCTCAGTCAGTGCACAGAAATGAGTGCAAATCGGATACCCAGCAAAAGTTAGCTCAGTCCTACCCAGGATACACTTGTCTATCTTAACACACTGTAGGTGATTCGTGGAGGCTGAAAACCTCCGTGGGGCTCAGGGGTCACAGCAGATCTCAACATTCCCTCTTTTAACCACATATTGATAAATTGCACTCCTTTGAATTTATCATTCCTGTGCCTCACTGTCAAATTCTCATCCTCAGTTTGCTCTTGAGGGAAAGGTTTGTGTATCTGTGTAACCTCTGCTTAACTCTACCGACTTCCCTCTCTCGGTTTTGAAGTGCATCATTTGGCCATAATTGGAAGGGATGTAGCCCTTCAGCATTTAAAACACTTAAAACTGAAACGTGGCTTACCATCAACGTATGCCTTTAGAGTTTGTAAGCTGAACATGTGTCCAGATGTCTGCAGTCACAGCAGCAGTGAGCAGTTAGTATTTGGCCACAGTCAACGGGAAAAGGACAGTAGAGAAAGAGAGACCACCGCATTGCCACCATGCATTTCTCACACACTTCCTCCGTGCTTTTAAAATATAAGTGAAATTTAATCTTCAAAATGAAAAAATAGACACATTTCTAATACCAAAATATAAGATTAAAATACTTAAAAATAAAATGTTAGTGTGAAGTAGGGCTTTTTTTTTTTTACATCATAAAAGAAACATTTTAGACTTGCTTTACTTGTATAAATCCTCCTAGCTCACTAATATTTACAATTTTCCAGAGTAGCTTTTCTGAGACACTGAAAAAGACAGGGAGGATCCTTTCTGGAGATATGAAGTCAGACCTGAATGTGGACATTAGACGCAGCCCTTGTCTACCACAAACCTGTCCGCCGGCTCCAGAGAGGGGAGCCCTGCATTCCCAGCCTTGAGATTTTTTTCATTCCATTGTCCTCTATTGGGTGTTAAATTCTTTCCAAGAATATTCTACTCGTAAAAAGTGTTTTATTCTAGCTACAAAACATTTCATTTCAGAAAAACCACATTTTTATATCCTCGTGTGAAAGGCCCCCCCAAAGCCATCAAGATATGGAGACACCAGATTTTCAAAACATAAATCTAATCCTATGCCCTTGCAGCAGTCAGAACACCTAATAGAATGGCGTCATATCCTTATACTTGTTTGCCGTGAGATGGAAGGCCGGGAGGCAGATAGTGATTAATAATCATTCCTGAGCTTCTAAAGGAAATTTAAAGTGAAATGACTACTGCTTAAAACAAAGAGTTCTCCACGCACACCCTTTCTGTTCCACTGATGTCTTTCCTTCCATCTACCTCTCAAGCGGACAAAAGGGGGTGGGTTCTTTTAAGCCACCGAAAAATGAGATCGGATGGAATCTTCACGTAGCTCTCGATGTTTCCCGATGTTCCTTTCTTCTTGCTGATTTCGCCTCTCAATGGTTATTCTGTATTTCTTCCTGGGTAAAAGCAGAAAAAATGCAATAATAAAACCTCACTTGACAATAAAATACTATGGTTCCTCTCACAAAGAATGCCTTCCAGGGACATCTGGGTTAGGTTTGATGAATTGGAAGTGACACAATATGAAGCCCTGGTCAGAGATTAAAGTAGTGTGCCCCGAGGCATCGTGTCCTTATTCAGGGAGGAAAATTGGCATACTTTCCGAAGTTCAGCAGAACAAGCCTTCCTCTTCTTCCCCGGAGCCTGTGGGTTCAGTCTTATCTATTCTGCCCCCGAAGCTCAACTTGACTCCCAGGATATGCCCCCAGATAAAGATCAGATTAAGTGTACTGTGACCAAAGGAACAGGAACACGATTGTTCCCACAGAGAGCCACATACACCCAGACTTACATTTCCATGCGAAAATGAAGAAACCTTACAAATAAGACATGAATTGGACCAAAGATTACAAAAGAATGGACCACCACCACTGCAGCAAACGACCAAAACCTTGAACACATGTACATATTACCAGTTTACGAGCCTTGAGGCTGAGCCACCACAGCTGAGCATGTGACTTCTCCAAACACAAAACACATTGCAGAGCTCACTGGGAGCTCCCTCTAGCCCTTCAAGGTGACTATGGCCACTTATTTCTGAACTGAAGAAAGTCAGAGGATATAAGTTCATTCTTTGTGCAGATTTCCTCTTTGCGTTCACATTTGGTAGGTAGAAGGGATTCTCATAAACATATCTGTGGTCCGGAGATCCCAGCAACTCTCTGGCCCATGGTAGTGAGAGGACAATAGAAACCCATAACCCAGGATGACCACCTGACCAAGATGGCGCCAAAGAATGGCTTTGATATTTTAACCACCATCCTTCTTCTTTGAAAACAAAAAAAAAAAAGGTGTGGGCAAATCACAGATAGCATTATGCAAAGACAGGAAATGAAGGCAAAAAAAAAAAGGCAGAGTGAATTTGAGCTTCATGAATGGTCCCTACCTGAAAAAGTAGAAGGCCATTAGCAAGCCAGCACCAAGCAGGGCCCCCACCACGATTCCTGTCACTGCTGATTCTTCTAGGCCACCTGCTTGAAAAGGAAACATCAATAATCAGAGCTCATTTTGAGAAATAAGTAATAAAATACTTTGATTTGTGTTTATCTCCCAGTTGAAACAGTTTTCCTTTCTTTGTGTATATAGACATGCATATATATATGTATATGTATATATATACATATATATATGTATATATATATATGTTCTGAGAAATCCTAGACTTCCTTCCTTGCTTGGTATAAGGCTTAAGAAAGGCTCTTCAGAAAGCTCTAGATAAATGCTCTGTCACATGACAGTGAAGAGAACAGTAGCAAGACAAGTTCTGAGTTGGGCCTGGGACACATGGCAGTCATCCTAGCATTTGGGAAGATGGATTTCAAGTTTGAGGCCAGCCTGACCTACATAGCAAGATCTGTAACAGGGAAAGAAGAGGGAGAGAGAGAGAAGGGGAAGAAGGGAAGGAAGGTTCAAAGGAATGACAGATGTGGAAACAACAGATTCAGGAAGGATTTGATGAGGGTGGAAACTGAAGATTTCAGACACACCCGTACCCTTTTTGAGTTCAAAGTCAACGAAATGCATGGATGGACAGAGGCACTGACCCAGCTCTTCTGTTTTTCACAGGTGGATGGTGACACTTCAAAGTGCTGGAAGGTTTGGGGAAAACTGCCTTGGGTCAGTATTCTGTTTTTAGATGTTCTCTCACCAGAGCCAGAGTTCCATCTCAATGTCCTACATAGCTTTATGAAAATGTAAGCCACTTGGATCAGCCCTTCTCTTTGGGAACTCAGTTCTAGAGAAATCAACGGCTACTCTCCTTGCAGAGTTCAGAGTAAGCCTGCACGGCACAGTCTCATGGGCTCCTCAGGTCTCGTTGGCTCCTCAGATCAAAGCTGGGTATGTTTCACTTTACAAGTGGGAAAAGCAAGGCTTGGTGCGTTGGAGGAACTCTCCTGGAGTCCCCAAACAGGCAAGAAGCAAAGTCAGATTTTGGATCCAGGCCGAGAGACTATGTGGTCAACACATTTCTCCATTAATTCTTTCTCATAATTATTGCATGGATATAAATTCCTCATCATTGAAAGACAGTTCTGAGACATAATGACCACTCATATACTCACCCAAAATCACTAACTAGCTTGCAAGATTGATACCTCTTGTTCTTCCTCCTGTTTACCAAAGCCCCTCAAAGACAATCATCCCTGAAAACGTTCCTATCCCTGAGGAAGATACAATTGCTTCTCTCTCTGCATCCAGAAACTGGCTGTAAATAATATATTCAATCCTTATTTGCCACTTTGTAAGTTGCCAGGTGTTTAAGAGCATTGTCTGTCCCATCCTGAGGATTTGGAGGTCAACTGTAAACTTTGATATCAACAATGAGATTTGTTACAGTAGATGAATAAGAGTTAATATTTTTATTTTTCCTTGAAGTGAAAACCTTTAATAACAAAGAGATTGTAGAAAGAGATATAAATCCCTTTCAGAAGAAATCTACCATTCAAAAGAAAAGAATAAAAGGAAGAAAGATGGATGCTTCTGGGAAAAGAGACGGGGTGGCCATTTGCAAGTTGTTCCCATGGGTTTGAAGACATCGGAAAAAGACATGGAGCTTTCAGAACATGAGCCCTTGAGAGCAACATGTGTCAGACTCACATGAACCTGGGATTGAAGGAGAGAAGGAACAGTGAATTAAGTCTCTGAACTTACATGATTTGCAAGGAGAGCTATTGGTATGCTCCACAATTCTGGTTTCGTCTATTCTCAGTTTCAAAGGGCCCCATGGGTATTTGACATTGGATCGCATTTTGAACCGGCCTTCTTTTCCAAAGTAATCGCCAATAACCTACAGAAAGGCAAAAGTCAGATGGACAAAAGGAAAGGCCAAAGGTATGTGTTCCCAGAGGAGGCATAAAGCTCACAGCCTTGCAGGAGCTCCCCCCAAACACAGCCTGATCTACACAGGCCGCCTCTGCACATCACCACCCGCAGAAAGTGCTAGCAAGCGCTTAAAAAAAAAAAAAAAAAAAAAAAGCGGCCGGGCGGTGGTGGCACACGCCTTTAATCCCAGCACTCAGGAGGCAGAGCCAGGTGGATCTCTGTGAGTTCGAGGCCAGCCTGGGCTACCAAGTGAGTTCCAGGAAAGGCGCAAAGCTACACAGAGAAACCCTGTCTCGAAAAATCAAAAAAAAAAAAAAAAAAAAAAAAAAAAGCATGAGAAATGGGAGGGGGACTCCCCTGCTGTGCACACGGACTGTCACAGAGGCTTCTCATGGCAGCGAAGGAATCAGGGTCATATAGTCTTGAAAAGGTGTGGACGTGACAAAGACAGTGCCACCTGAAGCCTGTCTACACTGGAGGCTATGCCCTACCAATGTTGTCCCTAGGTATTTACTCATCAGTTGCTACTGCATAGTGGGAAGGGTGGATTTTTCATTTCCCTACAAAACAATAATCTACAAATTCACAGCTTTGTCCTGGCTCATTCCATAGGGCCCTGTCTGGCCTTCTGCCACAGAGCAGTCCACACCGTTAGCCATGTGTAAGGCCCCTTTCCTTTAGGGATATGCAACAGAGCCAATGCTACTGCACACACACTTAGGTTAAGCATATGACAGGTACATAAATTGGCATATAATTATAACACTACAGAATATAATGTAGAGAAAGATGGCTTGGGAGATAAAAGCCCTTGTCACCAAGCCCTAAGACCTGAATTTGATCCCCAGGACCCATATGTTGGAATGAGATAACCAACTCCTACAAATTGTCCTCTGATCTACACACACACACACACACACACACACACACACACTAAATAGATAAATACAATTTAAAAAATTGTGTCTTTGAAGAGCTTTCTGGTTGACCCTCTTTTGGTTAGTGCTGTGTTCTTAGGGGTCACATTCGTCTCTGATGAATTCACTTCTTGTACTCTGCCATGACCCGACTGAACTCTGTTTCAGCTGTCTCCTTAGACCCCTGGAAAATCCTCATTCATTCATGATGTCATTGCAGGGTCACACTCCAGTTAAATGACTATTAGATCAGCCACATGAGCCAATCTGACAGTATCTTCTCACACACAGCTTCTAGGGATTCTCTTCTTTTGTCCGGACACAAACTTGTGGCTCCTGGGTGGCCTGTGACATTTCTGCTCCCTCCTGACTGAGATACAGCAGGGTCTTGCACAGGCTATATCTGCACAAGGTCAAAACAATTCTAGGTCCTCATAAAGTATGACAGTGACTGTTATGTGCTGAGCATATCCCAAGTGCACTGCAACCTCACAATGAGGTGAGATGGACTGTCACACGCCACCTTCTCCAGAGGAGGAAACTAGACTTCGGACAAGACCTAAAACCGGGGAGATACAGCTAGAGGGTTCCTGCTCCCTCACCCCCTCCACAAAGGCTAGACATACCCCACACAGAGGAAAACAAGTATCTTATGCCGGTGCCCACAAAGGCAACAACCTTGATGATCTTCATTAAAGTGGGAGAACTGTGTCTGCCCCTTACCAACTGTAGCACTCTGGAGAGGGGCCCCGGCACCTTGCCTAGACAGCACAGTAGAGCTGGCCTTGATGATGTAGGTGTGGGTAAGCCTACCCTGAGAGCGTGAAAGCAGGAGAACTGGCCCCTGCTTATTGCTGCATAGGGTGAACTAGCTGGAGCAATGCCTGAGAGCTCACCCTGGTGGTGAGGATGGGCGGAGAGGGAGAGGGGGTAGTTGGTGGGCTAAACAAACCTGCAACCACCCAAACCTAAAACCAGAGTTATGAATTGGCCCACACCAATAACCACCCCATTTATGATCTGCTGGAGCACGTGAAGGGGCATGCCCTGCAGATCCAAAGCTGCAAGACCTCCAGGACATAGGGCGACAATAGAGTATCCAAGAGGAACCCCAGTGAGGTCCCAGTTTGATGGTATAGCATAAACCAGAATTTATGTTCAAACCAGACTCTTTGCAATGTGCAGTTGCAAGTAAAAATATAATGACAAAAGGATATACTGTAAGACTCACTTTTTCCATGACAAGATTCTTCTTTTTTTCCTCTTAAATTTTATCTTATTTTATTTTATTTGGGGTCGTGCAAGGACAGAGGGTGGATACAAAGGGATGGGGAGATGAATGGGATCGAGATTCATGATGTGAAAGACACAAAGAATAAATAAAAAGAAAGTTTAAAAAAAAAGAGTGGATGACCTTGTAAGGAAACAGGACGATTATTATTATCTGCTGAAATGTATTTTTCAGTAGAAACACCGAATATTTATTTAATATCTACTTCTTTATTTGTCAATTCAAGGTCATGTCTTACTTTTCTAGGTTTCATTTCATGTGGTTCTAAAGATGTCATGAGACCATCCGGGACAATATTATGATTCACATATTATAGCTGAAGAAACTGAAGCAGAGAATCCCTGCCCCTGGTGACTGTCACAGACTCATCTTCAGTCCAGGACAGACTTCTCTGTCCTGAAACTCCATCTTTTGATATAACAACACCTGAAAATTTATAACAACCACTAGGGGAAAAAATCTGGAAATGCAAGAGGCCAATAAGTTGCACTTCCCATGTTCACTGATGCCCTTACTACACAGGACTAAGGAGTGACTCTTGACAGCTTGAAGGTAGGACTTCTCTACTGAGAACACACATGGCAGTATTCCTGCCTTCTGCCTGTCCCCTCAATCAACAGCAAGCTTTCTCTACATGGAAGGCTCATTTTTCTTTGAAGGGTGCTTTGGACACCAGGACACTCACTTTCAGAGTCCCTACTTGGAAGAGTGACCAGTACAGATGTTTCCTTTGCTCACCTCTTGGGTGCCTGCTTCCATGTCGGTCATGGCAACCACGGAGAAGTCCCCATACCGATCCCCATTGGCATCTATGGACACCTGCCCAGCGATACCTACAGGAGAGGTAAAGAACTCTGCGTTAGTTACTTATGGTACCTCTGCCTGCCAAGAAAACGAATTGATGGGATTTTTTAAAACAAATTCATGCCACAGGGAATCACATCAGACTGGAAGCATTTTTGTTGGCACTTGGAAAGACATTGTAACTTCATCTGTGTCTGCATTCCTAAATTCTTAACATTGCTCCATTTAAAAAAGAAAAAGAAAGAAATGATCTTTGGGTAATACTTTAAAAAAAAAAGATTAAGGCTAATGCTGAAGGCAATGTACTTATTCTAGAGTTTTGATTTTTTTTATTTTCTAAAAAGTAGCTGAGAAGTAGAGCTGTCTTCTCATATATATGTTCATGTGATCATTGGACAGCTCTCAGAAGGAAAATCAGTCTGGCCCAGGATTCACTGAGCATGCTTCATACAGGCTGCATTAATACACGGGAAGAGCAGGAAGCCTAGTTGGTGGGTCCTTGGAGCCAATGTCTAAAGAGCAATTCTTCATTGCTCAATGTGTGTTCACTCATTGCCCAATGTGTGTTCATTCATTGCTTATCCAAACATTATCTGGAAGATTCCTGGGTGCTGAATTAGCAATGCAGCAAAGGTTAAGTTAGAGCAAACAGACTCTTTGATCAAGGAGGGGCCTGGATGAGAGCTTTTCCCATTAGAATCATTCTGGTTGGGGCCAGAGAAGTAGGTGAAGATGCTTACCACCAAACTGAACATAGGCCATAGGTTTGATCTCTGGGACCCACACAGTAGAAGGAGAAAACTGACTCCCAAAAGTTGTCCTCTGACTTACACACCCACACACACAATAAATAAAATTTTAAAATATAATTTTGGCCTGTTTTTCTTTTCTTTTTTTTTTTTTTCTTAAGGAATCAGAATACTGAATTTGCTGTTTTTGTCTATCCCTACCTCTGCAACCTTGGCCAAGGCATTAGTCCTCTGAGCCTCAGTCTCTACAACTAGCATAAACAAGCATAAGATCAGGTTCCTCCCAAGAGGCTGTAGAGATGATTGCATGAGATAAAACACGTGGGGCATCTCCACCAGCTGCTTAAGCAATGCCAGCTGTTTGCCTCTACTGGTGTCACTGCTGCTGTTATTATTCCTACAGGTTGAGGAGCCCTTAACCCAAGTACTAGGGACCGGACATGTTTCTGATTTCAGATGTTTTCAATTTTTTGAATATCTGCATACACATAATGAGACTTCTTGGGGACAGGACACAAGTCTAAACACAAGATCTTTCATTTCATATACACTGTCACATATAGCCAGAAGGTAATCTTAATATAGTATTTTTGGTAAATTTTCCCATGAGATAAACACCCATTATGAGGAGGTTTTCATTTGTGTTGTCATTTTGACACATAAAATGTTTCAGTGTGGAGGCATTTTTGAGCTTGAAATTAGGGGATGGAGGATGCTCTCTTAAAGTTGCCGTTATCATTACTGTGCTCGCAGTAGCAGAGAAAGCATTTGATCGTGTTCTACCACTCAGATGATTCAGCACAATGGTTGGAATTCATTTTTTTAAAAAAGCAGGGATTATAAAGTCTCTTATAAGGGTACCTATGGTTCAAACCACTATCAAGAGTGTAAATTACTGGCCTGGTTTAATTTACAAAGACCCTAAGGCAAAAAAAAAGAACCAGAGGACTGTGAAGTTTCTAATGAAGGGGTCAACGTTCATGAACAGAGCCAGTGAGATATGAGGCTGGGACAGAGCAGCCAGAGCACTGAGGACCCACCCCTCTTGACCAGCGATGGTGGGTGCTCACAGCAGCTAATCCCCAAAAGGTCACCAGAGAACAATGGCCAATATTAAGTCATCTGTATTTGCGTCTTCCTTCACTAAGTAGCAGGAAGTGTGCACCAGCCACGTTCTAATTAACACAAGCCATTTGTTTTCTTTGTGGGAGAAGTCTGTGCCGTTCTTAATTGGTGCTGCCATCAGTTTGGTTCTCCCCAGAAGTAATGACTGCCCCTGTAAAATGAGCGTCTGCCGAGAAGCATCCCAAGGGAAAGTTCCATCCTCTTGTGTGGTTTGGAGAGGGCAGGCGTTTGGGTTTACTGTCCTTTGGGCTGTGGTTTGAAGGTCCACTGATTTTTCCAGACTTTGGGTTACTTTGCTGGAAACAGAATGGAGTTACCATTCATCTTCATTTTTTTGTCTTCTTAATTCAGGCAGGTTACAAAGGATGCACCTATCACAAACTTGTGCATCCTTGAGAACCTATAAAACTTCAAATTTATATATATAGTGTGTGTACATATATATGTAAATGTGCATATGCCGATACATATATGTATATAAATGCATGTACACATACATATACATATTTGTTCTCCAAACATTGTGGCTATCCAAAATCACTTGTCATTCTGTTCAGAGGTGTTTAGGAAGGTGTGTCCTGCTGAGTGTTTTGCAGAATGTTTTATAAGATGCAGTGGCCCTAGTAATCCAACACCTCATTACACCTTTAAGTTATTGCAATTTTGCCAAGAAATGGGGTGAGAACTCTCAGGGTGGCTGCTTTGCAAAGTGAGACTTCACCTGAGAGTATAAAGCAGAAGGTGAACTTGTTAGGAGACAGCAGAATTTTCCTGTATATCAGCAATGATTCCTTCTAAACCGGTTTCTGTTTGCCTAGACTGGAGCTTGTGTCCTGAGCCACACACAGTCCTGTTTACCCTGCCCCTCCGACCTCTCACACAGAGGAAACACGGCTTCTTCTTGGACCATTTATTGAAAGTCTTGAGAGCTGATCATAGGTTTCATGGCAATAAAATCCAATTTTGTCAAATAACATCCAGGGTATTTTTTTCTCCTCACAACTTAATGGTCACTTACAGCAACCACTAAAATTAAAATTGTTTTTAATGTTAGGAAGGTTTGAGTTTTTCTTCACACATCCACCTTAGACTTCTTTGAGGAGCTCCCTTCAAATGGACTGCTGCTTAGCAAATAAAATGGACTCTCTGAACCATTCAAATCCAAACTCACCGTGGCATCAATCTTTATATTTTGGACATATAGGATTCTAATTTTAGACTCAGCTATACAATTTTTTATACTCTTTGTACATACTGACTGTGTAGATCTGGTCCCAAAATGGAACCATCAAGATGGCATATTAGAAAATTTAGCGCCTGTCTTAGCTCTAAACAAAACTGTATCCCAGCCGTTGTGGGCACCTGCCCTGCTCTGAACAACCTCCCTCAGTGGGGCCTCTCCTCATCCCCAACTCTGGCTCCTGTCCCGCTGTCAGAAGACCAAGAACAAATGACCACACCATGCAGTGAGTAAGAGCTAAGAATGGGATGTGCCTGACCGAGGTTGTGTCCCCACACACCAGTTTCTCGGTGTATTGTGCACAACTTCTGGGAAATTTGACTTTGTCCTAATATGCCCCCTGAATTGCCCTATTTGATGTCTGCCCCTCAGCTGAATCAGGAAGAGGCAAAACAAGTTCATCAAGGAAGGTTTTCCACCCCAAACAACTGCTTGTCTAAAATGAAAGCTGTTGCTCTTGTCTAGAGTAAAACATGGTGTTCACTGAAACCACCGCAGAGAAAAGAAACTTACCAGTAGCTACCACAGCTACTACCCAGACAACCCTAGCGAGAGTTCCACTCCTCCCTACTGTCCTTCCCTTTTAATATCTGAGGACAAGCTGAGGCCATGGAATGTAGAGGGGACCATCCTGTACTCCTCTCTCAAATCTAGATTTGGCTTTGTTCTTGTCATTGAAAAGACAAGACTTGTAATCTCACTCATGTGATTACAAGTAAGTACAGGTATACTCCAACCTATTAAAGGGCTCACAGGACAAGTTGGCATGATGCAGAACTGAAAAGGCCCTCTTCAGTTAACTTACCCAACCTCCTTACAGAGCAAATGGGGTACTAGAGGATGCAGGCTCCTGCTTCCTGTTTCCCCAGTCTGCACTCTGTGTTTATAGTTCTCAGAAGATGCTCACCAGCATGCTACAGGTTATGTGCTACAGAGCAGCCATAAGGCATATCATCTCCATGGAAACTAAAGTGGCTTTCTATTTCAGTGGGTTTCCAGGTCCATGGGTCTGGCCCCAGGGCATCTTGAACTTTGGGTCCCATCACACCACCCCATATATTCAGATGTCAATCAACCACATAGACCTCCCAGCTCCTTGGGGAACAATCTCCTACCACATCCACTCAGATTACAATGCATTTGCTGCCTCCTCTGGGGCATAGTCTCCTAAAATGACTTCTATCACCCTCAGGTCCCAATCAGCTGCCATGTTCAGAGGCCTTTCCTTGACAGCTCTAATCCAGCAGTCTTACCCCATCACTTTTTGTCTCCCTGCTCTGCTTCGTTTTACAGGCCCTGGAGTGGGGGTGGGGATATTGCCTGTTCCTACACACACACATTTGCATGTAAGATAAACTGATTATCTGTGTTCGCTGCTTCATCCCCGGCTCCTTGAACAATGCCTGGGATATCATCGATGCCTGTTGAATGTATTAGACGAGTGAATAGAAAATTGATGCCTGCTCCAGGAACCAGCTCATGCCAGTTTGGAATGTTGGTGAGGTAAGAGGAAAACACTGCCCTTATATACACTATTGACAAAAAATATGCCGGGCGGTGGTGGCGCACGCCTTTAATCCCAGCACTCGGGAGGCAGAGCCAGGCGGATCGCTGTGAGTTCGAGGCCAGCCTGGGCTACCAAGTGAGTTCCAGGAAAGGCGCAAAGCTACACAGAGAAACCCTGTCTCGAAAAACCAAAAAAAAAAAAAATAGATTAGCAGAATTTTCTATAAGATGTTTGACAAATAGCCCTGAAAACATACTTACAAGTAACATTATACTGACTGAACAGGTTATATTTAAGAACATACATATATACATATATATATATATGTGTGTGTGTGTGTGTGTGTGTATACATATATGTACATAGGTATATACAGATATGCATATAGTAATAACTAGTGAAAAATGGAAGAGGCCATGAATGTGAAGGAGAGCAAGAAGGAGTATATATGAGGGTTTGGAGGATAGAAAGAAAAAGGAGAAATGTTTTAATTATTGGTGAGAATGCAAACTTGTACAGCCACTTTGGAAATTAGTATGATGGTTCCTCAGAAAATTGGCAATCAATCTACCTCAAGACCTAATGATACCACTCTTGGGCATGTACCCAAGGAATGCTCAATCATACCACAAGGACACATGCTCAACTATGTTCATAGCAGCACTATTCGTAATAGCAAGAACCTGGAAACAACCTAGATGCCCCTCAACTGAAGAATGGATAAAGAAAATGTGGTACATATACACAATGAAGTACTACTCAGCAGTAAAAAACAATGACATCATGAAATTTGCAGGCAAATGGATGGAACTAGAAAATATCATCCTGAGTGAGGTAACCCAAACCCAGAAGGACAAACATGGTATGTACTCCCTCACAAGTGGATACTAGATGTAAAGCAAAGGATAACCAGACTATAATCCCCAAAAAAATTTAAAAGAAGCCATTTTGGTGGTAAATGAATGAACAAGGCCTATGAAAAGAAAAAGATTGGCAATATTCAGTGCACTTTATAAAGCACCAGCATACTTTGTGTAGCTAGAGTTTTCCTGCCTGGCCCACAGTCAGGACAAATCTCTCTCACCCGCCAGTCCCAAGCCGCTCAAACCCGACCAAGTAAACACAGAGACTTATATTGGTTACAAACTGTATGGCCGTGGCAGGCTTCTTGTTAACTGTTCTTACAGCTTAAATTAATCTATTTCTATTAATCTATACCTTGCCACGTGGCTTGTGGCTTACCGGTACTTTACATCTTCCTTGTCCTGATGGCGGCTGGCAGTGTCTCTCTCACTCAGCCTTCCACTTCCCCGCTCTATTCTCCTCCTTGTCCCACCTATACTTCCTGCCTGGCCACGGGCCAATCAGTGATTTATTTATTGACCAATCAGCAACACATTTGACATACAGACCATCCCACAGCACTTTGAGACCCAGATCCCTCACCATTAGAAATGTTCTCTATGAGAAATATCCACAAAAACTCATCAAGGTGTGCAGGAGCCTCTGACACCATACTGCAGAATAACAAAAACTATAACTAACTGAAGGAAACACCAATCTAAGGTAGCTCAGAAGCTGAGGGTGGTGGAACCTGTAATCCAAGTATTCAGGAGGCAGAGGCAGGAGGAGGGCCTCGTGTTTAAGGCCAGTCTCATCTATATAAGCAAGTTCCAGGTCAGCCAGAACTGCATAGTAAGACCCTGCCTCGAAACAAATAAACAAAAAGAATTAAGGAAATTATTATGCAGCAGAGTCACATTTAACTCTCATTTTAAAATATGTTAGATCTATGAGTGTTCATAGAGAATTTTTTTGACATCCAAAAAGTGATATATAAATATATATGGAACTAAAATGAAAAAAATGGTGTTTACAATGAGACCAGCTTTGTAAAATTTTGACATGGGATATATTGTGTGCTATGAGAAAGCATAACACACCTCTGGCATCACCTCGAAAATTGTTGACAGTGATTGCATTGGAGAAAGGAGGTGAGAAGTGAAGTTTTCACTTTTTATTTTGTACATTTTTATATTGCTTAAGCTTTCTAGCCAAGAATAGTCTCATCTTTAAATGTCAGTGTAGGTTGCTGGAATGATGAGATAATACGCTTTTTGTTGTTATTGTTACACTTTCTGTTTTTGTTGTTTTACTTTTGTTTTTGTTTTTAAGCAGGAATTAATATTCACTACTTTGAAAGTCAATGAAAGCAGAGGGCATGGACCTGCTAACCAGCTCTGACTACCAGGTTGAATATGACAGCTAACATCTTCTGCATTTCACTGAAACCGACATGGTCTGAACACGGGGATGTACACCTGGATTAACATGCTTTTGAGCCTGACTGCAGATCTTCCACACTGATTGTTCTACAGTGAAAACGGCTTATGTTAAATGTGATTTTTTTTTTAAGTGTACAGGGCTCGGGAGATGCCTCTGTGGGTGAAGTGCTTACTGTACAGGCATGATGATCCACGTTCTGACTCTCAGCCCCATGTGAAAAGCTGGGCACAGTGGAATTACAGATTCATATCTGTAACCCTTGTGCTGGAAGAGGCAGAAACAGGCAGGTCTCAAGGGCTTGCTGCCCAGCCAATCTAGCCAAAACAGTGAGCTCCAGATTCAATGAGACACTGCCTCAAAAACTAAGTCAGAGAACAGTGAAACCTGACATGAAGCCCTAGCTTACACACACACACACACACACACACACACACACACACACACACACACACACCATACACACACATACACACACACACACCGTAGTATAAGTATTGTCTAAATAAACAAGGAACAGGACAGTTTTTAATGAAGTAAAATTTGCTCAAAGCATGTTCACATGCATTACATTGTTTGATCTTATTTTTACAAGCCCGTGAGGTGAGTTGGCTTATTCTCCATGCTTTAAACCTGGAAAAAGCAAGTCTCTAGAAAGAGTCTTGGTTGCCGCAGAAAGCAACCACAGAAGCAGAGGCTCACTTGGCTGCAGCGTTGCTGCCATGGAAACTGAATCCCTACCTTCAAAAGTCCTGTTCCAGGTCTGCTGGATGATTTTCCCCCCATCCTTCTTGCTGTAGCCAGCTCTGAGTACTTCGTGTAAAGCCAGAACGTAGAGGAGGATGGCATCATGGAACCCTTCAACAAACATGTTCACCTGCAAAGGAAACCCACTGAGTGAACCTGGGAACCTGATGATTCATGGTCATCAATGGCACAGCAAACAAAATGGTCCACCCTGAGTCTGAAGGTGTGAGATCAATGGAGGAAGTGGGCAGAGCTATCAAAAGTAACTACCAAGAGTCTTATCATGGTTTCCTGGCACTGAGTAGGAAAAACTCTTCCTGACTTGAGAATTTACAGAGCAAACACAACATTATAGAAGTCAAAGCAACCATCCTGTTGTCCAGGTTAATTATTCCAGGAACTTCAACCCTCTTTTCATGAAGTTCCCCTTCTACCCACATCTTCCATCAGCCTCAACTCAGCATGAGTCCAGCTCCCTGGTGAATCTGCTCCAACTTCCACCACATATATGATCTCTTTACATTCTGAGTGTAGGACACATGGACAGAACAGTAGTAACTGGGCAAGTTGAGGCAGAGAAGTCAAGAGTTTGAGGCCAGCCTACACTACATGGCAAGACCTTGTCTCAAAACATCAAAACAAAAATATAGGTATCCATTTGTGCAAACTCAAACAAAAGGTTATCAATTGCCAACACATACCAGAGATACAAAGAATGGACACTGCTTTCTGCCTGCCTTGGGAGGGGGCAGCATTGTCTTCTGCTATATTGACAAAAACACCACAGTCTCTCTTTCTATCCTCTGCCAAGCTCCAAGGGCAGAATGGACGCATCTTGACCATTGATACATTTTGTTCGATCTCTGGCTCAGGAAGGGTATCCTTGCTCTCCATGTACTTAGTTTTATAAATGGAAAAACTTAGGAAGAACTTAGGGAAGTTCTTCATCATGTTGAGTTTTGTTTCTTTAATTGGTACCCGTGCACATGGTGTAGAACCTTCTTCAAGGGTAATTGCCAGAATCATATGGAATCACAGCATAAAGTGTTTGGTGTTTATCAAGTATTCAGCAACTAGTTTTATGGACCATGTGATGTTCTCGGTACTGTACTTGAGTCTTATTCAGAATACAGTGAAGACATAAAATAGAGCAGTTAGTGTTACAGACTGGGGAAGGATGATAAAGAGAAACTTGATGGTGGTGGCAAAAGCTGAACGGAATTCTGAAAATGAACAGATGTTTGGAAGGGCGGAAGGTTGGAAAAAAGACTCTGAGTAGAGTCATGTGGCAAAGGCCTATCCTGACCACTGCTACATTAAAAACAACTGTTCTGCTGGCCTGAAGCAAGAAGGGCAAGCTACATGGACAAGCAGCAGAAACTCGGACCCCTGAGACTAAGTCCTCCTCGGGGAACTTAGACTGTCCTCAGTAGGCATCTGATCGCTTGACTTAAATGATCCTCCTTAGAAAGACAGTAAGTCCCTTTCAGCAGGTCCTACTTCCACATTTACACCTTGACAACAGAAACTGGAGGGAAGTGAGCAAGTTCCACCTTGAAACACTGGGTGACTTACAAACTCTGCACAGAAGTCACAAAATAGTCACACCTTGTTTCAAAAGTCCGAGTTAGTGACAGAAAGTCATGGCTACAGGAAGAACTGGGGACTCCTCAGAGGACACTCGGAGATGCTTCTGTGAGAAACTGCCTGTCCTGTCGCTCTACAGAGGAACCCAGGGGAAAAGTGCCTCCACTAACCTTCTGTATGGCCTGACTCTAGGGCATATTCACAAATGGTGTCTCATGTCTCATATTCACAAAGGCACACTCACAGACGGCATCCCCTGTTTCAAGGGCACACTCACAGAGAGCAGCTCAATGTCCAACTTCATTTGTCCTCATCCCAACCATTGTTGAGTCCTGTGTTGCACTATAGGAACAAATATTTCAGATTTGCCAAAGCCCAGAGCCTGGGCTGCTCCAGTTCTGCCTTTCCTAGCTGTGTTCCTACCTCCTTCTGGTCCTTCAATTCCTCACTAGGAAATGAAAGAATGACAGGACCTTCCTCCTGAGATTGCCATCTATTTCCTCCGACTTGAGAAATGCAAAGGACTTCAAACAGCTTCTGTCAGCTGTTATTGTCGCCGTGTCTAGAGACAGAGGAGTTCCACACCCAGGAATTCTGCCTAGCTTCTAATTCCAAATAGCAACATTCAATAAGCGACCTACCTTACTGACCCATTTTATACTTAATGGAAAGTAGAGCTTCTCTTTCACACTCTGGTACCCCAGACAGATCTCTTATAACATCATGATCCTAACGATGCCTAGTAGAATAGCACTGTCCAAGATGGTCTGTCCCACTGACCCTTGGGGAGAGGTGGAATATAGGACAGGTTCAAAGTCACAGAGATCTTGTAGTTAGCAACTAGCTGGATCCACAGTCTACTCCTAATCCAGATACCTCACTCAGTCTCTCAGTCTCCTGAGTCCTCATTTGTGAAGTAAAGGACTTGACTTAGCACTAGATCACCTAACAGAGATTTTCTGGAGACTAAATGAATTAGAGTATTAAAACACCTAAGAAAGTTCTGGAGATGATGAAAGCCTTGGGCAGATGTTGGTTCTTACTCTGAGCTGTCAAACTTAAGTCTCCGAGACACTATTTTCTTAGGCAAAGAATGCTATAGAAATAACATCAACCAGTCAAAGATAATTTTCAGCTGCCTTGAATATGCTAATTTAATTTTCCAAAGGAATACAAAATTTTCACTTAGACCATGAAGTCATGATGATTTGAGAAAGCACGCATGCTGATGAATTTTAATAGGTAGACTTAAGCTGTTAAATTTAATTCTCAAGACATGATCATTTCCCCCCCCCCCCCACGTCTAGCCTCTCTTTCATAGCTTTATAGAAATCACCTTGCTGCAGGGGAAAGTCATGGAACCATAGTTGTGACATGTGGGGGATGTAGATGCCTCAAGGAAGCTCTAGGTTTCCCTTATTTTCCTGAAGCTATCGGCTACTAATTGTTGGCTTCGGGAGAAGGAGTCGTTTCTCCAGTGCCAGAGTCACTGTCAAGTTGCCCATGTTCCAGTGAATAACGTCCCACCCCTGCTCATGCAAGTATCCTTAATGAAATTTAAGGGGTTATAATTTTTTAAAAGAAGTGGAACTAGAAAGGGAATGTATTAGGTAAAGAGGGAGCTCAGCAGCCACAGGAGAGAAATAAGAGGGGGTAACAATGGACATGAAAATGACCAAAATACATTAAATATATGCATGAAATTGTCAGAGTAATAAGTACTGGAAAGGGGAGGACCATTGTTGTGCTCAGTCTTCCTGAATTTTGTTCTTGCATGTCATGCTCTGTAAATTCCTGTTCCTGGGGCCCCTAGGGCATTCCTGCTTAAAATATGGCATGAGCTCCTGGGTCTTGTCATCATCATCATCATCATCCTATCCTCCTTTCTAAATCCTCACCCAGGGACACTCTACTGAGGTTGGCTACTCAGAATACTGGTCATGCAACCTCTCCCCATGCCCTAATTGTCCTTCCCATTCTATCCCTCTTGATGTATCCATGGCCCATCAAGCACAATAGGAAGAATAACCGTCTGACCAAGAAGGATGAACTTGGATTGTGTTTGTCCTAACAAGTTCGATGCCAAAACAGGACAGACAGGCTCTGAAGATAAACTCTGGTCTGAAATCTCCTAGTGTCTTGATTTGCAAGTGGATCACTACAGTTACCTCCTGCCCTCTCAAAGTGGCTGAGTGTCACCCTCTCCCTTCGGGGGAGGATGCTGACCCTGCTGAAGCTGCCGGCACCCTGGCCTACTGCGGAGGAGGTTTCATCACACCTACCTCATAGGCCCTTGAGTCAGGAGCAAAACCCCAGAGACTGTCTTTTCTCGAGGAGAACATTCTCACTCTCACATTTTTTTTTTTAAAGTGGGAGGGAAGCCCGTTAGCACATTATAACCACTGTAAATTGCAAGTGCAAATTAAGGAGAAAAATGGAGATGGGGGGGGGTGAGACAATATTAAGTCGTATTAGGAACACTTTCCTTCAGACCTCCAGACTAGAAGGAACCAGGTCAGCTTGGTCTGCCTCCCTGACTCTGGACAGAAGAACACTTGAACCTCAAGGCCCTGGTTGAGACACAGCACACTGTTGTTACCATCACAGGAAATGGGATTCCCTTACCCAAGCAACTTGTTTGGGTGTTCATCATCTGTTTTCGTTACGTAAACACCCTGTCAAAAGCAGCTGAGGGAAGGAAGGATTTATTTTGCCTCAGAGTTCAAGGGGTCAGCTCATCATGGAGGCAAAGTCCTGGTAGCAGCTGCGTGAAGCGGCTAGTCACGTGGTGGTCGTCAGGAAGCGGAGAGCAATGAGTGCTCGTGTTCGGCTAGCTTCTTCCTTTGGATGTAACCCAGTGCGCAAGTCCAGGGAAGCTGACACTCCCCTTTAGTGCGGCTTGCCCCACCTCAATTAGACAAACCCTCCCGGGCATGTCTAGAGGTTTACCTAATCTAAATAATCTCTTACGGGTATGCCCAGAAGCTTGTCTCTCAGAGACTCCAGAGCCTCTGGAACTGACAATCAAAACCCACCATCACAGCACCCTTTGAGCCAGAAAATCCTCCCTTCACACCACTTGCTGAGGTCTTAAATTCCTAAATGCAGCCACTCCCCGGCTAGATAATGAACAAGTTGGATTAAGAAAACATGACAGTTTACAATCCCCACCAGACAGAATCACTGTCCCACACAGAGAGGCTGTACACATGGAAGTCGTGACAAGACCTCTGCCCTGCCAGCAATGCTAGCCACATTCTTTGGAGAAAGAAGAAAGCCGAATGGAGGGAGCCGAATAAAAGGAATCATATTTGTCCTTTTTCAAACGAGCGTAGATAGACTTGGGATTCACAGCACGCTCCCCTCGCTTCCACGGCACAGTATCTTCCCCATTCTCTCTGGGGAGGCAAACTCAGGTTTAGGTGAATTCCTGGATGCTTGTGAGTAAGTAGAGCGTGCTGCCTGCTTCAAACGTTGTGTATCACGAGAGAGGCCTGTAAAATCCGAGTGCCTGGATACCGGAAAAAGTCTGTAAAGCTCTCA